TGTTTCCCAAGTGGAGTAGTACTCCATGTGAAAACTCGATATGAAGTGGATTGGAAACTCTCAACATATAAATGAGCCCATTAATACCTCTCTCGATACGGCATGTGTATCATTCTAGGAATCATCCAGAAACTGCGGTGTCACTTGGCTCAAGGTCGAGTCTTCCCAGTACTAACTCAAGAGTGTCGTCGTTGTCTACGGAGTTAACCATTAGGAAATGATAGTGATACTAACTATAATCGAGCTACTATCAACATCATAAACCGATAATCTGTTTAATAATCCCGCAACGGGGGCACGTGTGCAAGCGTTGGGCGCTTAACCTATGCGTGCCAGCGGAGCGATCGTGTCATGTTTGCCGAAAAAGAGACTGCCTGCAATGGAAGGCCCTTCCGATGCAGGCTTGGTGCAGTAAACCCAAACCGCAAAACCTCTAATTTTCCTTCTAATGTCTTCACATCAGGATATGAAAGCTGAATGGGTCCCCTCGGATGATAATTTTCCCCCTGCCGGATGTTAGATAAGACCCTAACACATTGAGACCGAATCAGCATTATGATAATATCTTTGCGCACAGCCACGATTTCACATGACACTAAAATCTGCTCAAATTCAGTACAATTTCAACATCATCATAATATGCTTGGGTAACTCGGGGAGCATTCCCCTCGGAACCAAATTCATCGATAAATTGTGCACATCCACAAACACTCCAAAAGTAATTTACCATATTTCGAATTGTCACTATTTCGATAATCGTCAACCTATTAACTCTCTTACAAGGTACTCTGATCCAGAAGTTACTTCTTTTCGCCAAGTTACTTCAGCACTACTGTAGTGTTGGTGTAATATATGTTCATTTCCCTCAGGTCAGCCGAGTTTAATTATAGCTAATTATACAAGTTTGCATACGATTTCGGGTGTTCAGCAACCAAAAAGAAGCTACCTAAATTTTCTCAGAATTCTCACACTTTCATCAACACATGTAGTTGACCATGGGGTTATTTTCGTACACTGGTGGTAAAAGTTCACAAAAAACCATTTAAAAATCCCCGTAATGCCGACAGAATATAGTTTACCATATACATATTCTCCCACACATCATTATGAAAGTGATGCACTAGCCCACCTGACCTGGTTGATGAGCTAGGACGTTAACCTACTGAGCTAACAAGATCGATACCTTGCGGAATGCAGTACTTCCAGAACTCACCCCACCGGGTTACAAGAATGCTTTTCGGCATGCAGGGTGACATGGATGTTGATCGCAAGATCGATCCAGGCATAGTGCATTTTTATGTAAATTAATTAGGACATTTTCCCGAGCTGTTTAAACGCTCCCCCTGGTTTGATAACAATGGGGCTACAATGGGATTATCATTAAGGCGACGATGTAATCGCCCATCAGACTGACTGAACACTTGTGAATTCTCCCTCGCAAAACATCCTAAACGAGGAAAGGTCATCACAATTTCGCGGGCAACAAAACTCTTTGCCACCTTGAGGTTCCATCTGATCATCAAACTTCCCGTGGTGGTCACGATGGTTTCCTCAACTCTGCTAGTGCCGTATTCGCACCGCGCTGGAGTGAAGTTGATATCTTCCAGACCATACCTAACACGAAGAAAGTGTCATTCAGGATTCTTGAATCAAGAATTGCTCCGCCGCGCCTATACAGTACCCATCTGTGCGTACATATTCCAACTTTTTTTATATCATAATGTTCTTCAGGTCCTGAAGTATCTGTAGGTGGAAAATCATGTATATTAATTGAACAGTTAGAGAGATATATTAATTTCAAGTCAGATAAGTTGATGTCTATATAGTATCGTATTGCTCCGCTACAGTATGTCCAAAGGCCAGTAGTGAATAGGTTCTGGCGGACATTTTCTAGTTCATTGGATTTTCCTCTTGTGAAGATTTCTATACTTCGTCTAGCGCAATACCCCTGTCGGGGGGAATGGCATCCGAAATACGACTCTTTATACCCTGCACACTCCCCTAGTTTCGAGATTGTTTTTGTTATGAAGCTTATTTTTTGTCTCTTTCCATCCCATGTGGGGAACAGGTAGCTGTTTCCTCTCACAAAAGTAGTACATTCCGAAACTTCTAAGTAACTGCGGAGAGACACTGCTGCTCTTCCCCATATTATTGAAATAACCTGCCTGATGCAATATCATGTTTGTAGCTACGTTTTATTACCTGGTTGTTCATGTTACTTTTTCCATTAGCAAATATGAATCCGTAGAATAAGTCATCATCTTCTATTCGGGGGTAGTGTAAAATTTGTCTAGTGGTAGGCCAGAGTCTGGCCGCCAGACCAGGATTCTTGTCCGGCTTCACCTGCGTAGGTTAAAAATTGTGTAGTTCACTTTGACCGAATTTACTACACTATCGGCTCTGTCTGAAGTTGTTAGAACGATCATCGCTCAATACCTATGCTCTGGTAATTTTTCGTACTGCTGTCCTTGGTGTGTCCAATAAGTCCGATAAACGAGCCCCTGTATGACATGCTAGTCGTATCATGCAACGCAGTTGTATGTCCTAAAAAAAGAGGCTATTAGTATCTAGTTGTAGAATGTAACGCATTACCAAAAGACCGTTACCCAGGCATTGGCAGAGGCGATCCTCGTCGCTAGGCCATGACGGCCTAGCATGTACGCCGTTGGAGTCATGCAGTCACTAATGTTTGCCCGATGGCAGGAGTCCTCCCGCAGGATCCTAATCATAGCAAACTACTGAGATATGAGAACTAATTAAACATAGACTATGGGAAGTAATAACATTTGATGACCAGTTTTTGTTAAGTACATATATAGAAGACGCCACGGGAATTACTCGATTCGAGTAACTGGAGGATGGGACAAACCAAGAGAGCCTATAGCTGAAGCCGTCTCTTCTTTGGCGGCCCAAAGGAATCGGGGTCCCCTGTACCGCGACACCAAATTGCGAAATCATCATCAGTCATCTGCCGGATGCTGTCCATCACTTTTTGACCATGATCGGTCATGATTTTGCTCAATGGTCGGAAAATCAGGATATTTTATCCCAATTTCAACGAGTTGAGCAAGGCGGCCGCTATCCATGGTTTTTCTCAACCGAGTAGAAACTCGGGTATATGCCTAAAAAGCTCGTTCACAGCTTGCAGTGGATAGAGGATTAATAAGAACCGAACCGGCAATGATGGCATGGCAAGGGAATTGGTCAGCGCTGCTATCGCTAGCGACGAAGGCTCGGAGTAGGTCCATGGTGGTCGAGCTGTCACATGCGACTGTGGGGCAGTGTTATTTGCGAATGTTCAATAAATCTTGTTGCGATGTTGGTGTGTAAGTCGCGGTGTGATATTCTGGTATCCCAAGAAAACGTTTGCTGGAGAATATGTTGAACACGAACCTCCGGTCCGTCCGTTATCAAGGCCTGGTCAACTGGTATGCTTTACTTGCTCGACCTAATAAGCTCTGACATCACTATTGAGGCTAGGTCAAGCACTCGGATCCGAAGCGACTCTATCGGCTGATGGAACTGTGGCTCAAAAGGGAGATACGAGTCGAGCGACTTATACTGCGTCACATAGTTCGGAATCACTTTTGGGTCCAAATGGTGTTAGTTGTGGCTTCGAGGCGATGATCATCGGAGGAGTCTCTAAACAAAGTATAAATCGCAAATGGGAGTTCCCTGAGCATGCTGTTATTAGAGTAAAAGGCACGCCGTGAGGTTATAGTGTTTGAACTAGATAGATGTCAGTTGTTATACAACATGGCAGTAACTGTCTCGTCCATGCCATATA